CTAAATTTAGCGGGGGAAATGACGTCACGGCTACGTGTCACGTCACCCATGAACAAATTTAGCGGCAGAAGGAGAGGACGAGGAAAGGAGGAGGCGAAAGAGGAGGGGAGGAGGATGAAGAGGAGGAGGGGCATACCCTTCTCTCCGTACCCTCCCCTCCTCCTCAAAAGCTGCGCTCTAGTTTCGCATTACTGAGATTTGTAAACGTATTTCACTTTTTTATGTGTTTTAGAGGGCTTTGGAAACAAGTTCTTTCCCCTTTGCCTCTTTGTGCCGGCCGAGCACAGCGAAACGAAGGCTTCTTTGTACGAGGGTAGATTGAAAAAGTTTCTGGAATGAAAATTAGAACAATATATATCGGGTTTAATATACACTTTATTTTCCGACATCATTCCCCCGAAGCTTGACAGACTTGGTCCAGCGTTTCTCCAGCTTTTCGATTCTCTCCCGGAAGTGACTTTCTTCGAGATCCCCACGGAACAACTGTTCACAGCCTCTATCACAGCTTCATTAAGCAGAAATTTCTTTCCAGCCAGGAAGGTCTCGAGCGTCGGGGATATGAGGAAGTCCGAGGAAGCTAAATCGGGTGAATACGGTGGATGCGGAAGGATTTTGGACTTCAGTTCTACCAGTTTTTGTCTAGCTACTGCACTTCTATGGCCGAGTTCATTCTCATGGTGAAACAACACCTGTTGCTTGACCATTTCCAGGCTTTTATTTTTAATAATTACCTGCTTCAGCTTGTTCAGAAGTGTTATGTAATATCGACCACTAACAGCTTTTTGTTTTTTCATTTTCAAGATACTTAATGAACAAAATTCCTTTGTCATCCCAAGAACTGATGCCATCACCTTTCCTGCCGACTGAATAGTCTTTGCCTTCTTCGGAGCCGATTCACCGGGCCCAGTGCATTGTTTCGATTTACTTTTTGTTTCTGGAGTGTAATGGGGCGAACCAAGTTTTTGTCCACAGATACAAATCATCGCTTGAAATCGGTTTGATTTGCCTGAAACTTTTAAACTGTCGGCTGACGTACAGGCGCGAATGCGTTTTTGCTCCGGATTGAGAAAGTGCGACCACCATTTTGCAAGAAGTTTCTTTAATCCCAACTCACTGTGTAAAATATAAACTACTCGCTCAGAACAGATTCCCAACTGCTTCCTCAATTTCACGCATTTTTATGGGGCGGTCTTCCGAAACCAAGTGATGAATTTTATCCACAATGTCTTGTGTGGTAGCTGTTTTTAGGCGTCTTGAACATGGTTCATCACTTGCGTTCGTACGACCACGCTTAAAGTTGTAAACCCCAAAACTCACGGTGAAAAACGAAGGTGTCGATTATTCCAAACAGCATTCAGCCTGGATTTGATATCGGTCGCAGGTGTTTCCTCCAAATAAAATATTTTTTGACTGCTCAGTATTCGTTTTTATCCATCATTGAAGATGTTCATGGTTGCTCGACTAGAATACTTGTCAAAGCCAGACATTTTGCGATATGAATCTGACATTTGTGGTCATTTCGTACAAAAGGTTTGCCAACACAGTAACATAAAATATTTTGGAACGGAAAGCCCCCTAGTGGCGACTATGGAAACTTTTTAATCTAACCCCGTATATTTTCGGGGCCAGACATAATCTCCAGTGGTAACAACAACGATTTTGGGGGAGCTTATATTGTCCCGAATGACACGATGAAACAAAGAATAACTGGGGAAACTGAAACGTTTAATGGGGGCGAACTTGTGTCCAAAAATAAGAAGGAAACAGAAGATAACAGCAGAGCGTCGCGGGCGTCGAATTCGGCAAAAGAGCAGAGTCGAACGCTGGGGCGAATGACTTCGGTTCGCCACGCGGAGCCCCTTATGTACATGCGTGAGCTTCTGGAATAATCGGCGTAGAATGTTCGACGCGTAGAACATTCGGACCTCGAACACGCCCCCCAACAGGAATCTCGAATCTACCAGAAAACTAAATTGCAGGAATAACAAACGATGCGTCGCTCCCAGGAATCGAACCCTGGCTTTTCGTGTGGGAGGCAGGCACGATAACCGTTAGGCCACGCGCGCGTTGCCTCCTACCGGCTGCACGCGTGGCATTACTCCCCCCTTTTAAAAAGTGCATCGCCCCGGTGCAATCCACGACAAAGCAAAGCAAATAAAAAGAACGGTAAACTAAAGAGTCATTTGGAACACATAAGGTCCACAGTCCTATCGAGCGTAATACAGCTTCAGGCGCGCGACGTGAACGACTTCAGGTCATGGTGGGCGGCGTGATGATGTTCTTGTTCCGTCGGGCATCACCTCGTAGTTCAGATCTCCAAAAGGACTGAGTACCGTGTAGGGTCCGAAATACCGTTTCAGGAGTTTCTCGCTGAGACCTCGGTGGCGAAATGGTGTCCCGACCCATACCCGGTCTCCGGGCTGGAAGTGGGCGTCCCGACGACGAAGGTTGTACCGGGTAGCGTCGACACGTTGTTGATCTCCTATTCGGAGTCGGGCGAGCCGGCGAACTTTTTCGGATTGTTGAGCAACCACTTGGGCGTCGGGGCTTCCATCGTCAGCTGGTTCGTGGGGTAGTATCGCGTCGAGCATGGTCGTTACTTTCCTGCCACGCACCAGCTGAAAGGGTGTCACGCCGGTGGTCTCTTGCACGGCCGTGTTGTAGGCAAATGTAGCGTACGGCAAAACCTCCTCCCATGTCTTGTGCTCCACGTCGACGTACATGGAGCTCATGTCGGCGATGGTTTTGTTCAGTTTCTCTGTCAGTCGGTTTGTCTGCGGGTGGTACGCCGTGGTGCGCCGGTGGCTGGTGTGGCTGAGACGAAGGATTTCTTGGGTCATCTGTGCCATGAACGATGATCCTCAATCTGTAATCAGAACTTCGGGAGTGCCGTGCCGGAGGACGATGGTCTCGATGAAAAACTTGGCGACTTCCACAGCCGTCCCTGAAGGGAGGGCTTTTGTTTCTGCGTACCGCGTGAGATAATCTGTGGCGACGATTATCCAACGGTTTCCCACGGTTGACGGCGGAAAATGACCAAGTAGATCCATTACAATCTGATGAATCGGTGCAGTTGGTGGAGCAATTGGCTGCAGGAGATCTCTGCCGGCTTCGTAGGCGTTCTTGCGTCGCTGGCACTCATGGCAAGATCGGGTGTAGAGGTGTACGGTTTTGGAGAGTTTTGGGCGAGTAACACTTCTCATGAATAGGGGCCAGCGTCCGGCTGTACCCAAGGTGTCCGGACGTGGGGTCGTCGTGACATGCTTGAAAGATCTCCTCTCGAAGGTCGGTCGGGATTACCAGCAGCCACGGCGAGTTGGTGTCCCCGAAGTTCTCTTTGTAGAGTACACCTTGTCGAATGGCGAAGGTCGGCAGGACTCGTGAGAAAACACGGGGCGCGGTACTCCAGCGCCCTTCGAGGTGTTCAATTAATGCGCGCAGCTCAGGATCGTCTCGTTGACGTCAAGCCATGTCGTCGGTGTTCACTGCTCCTAGGAAGCACTCGTCGTCATCGTCGTCACTGCTGCCGGAAGATGTTTCGACAGGGGCCCTGGACAGGCAGTCAGCGTCGCTGTGCTTGCGTTCTGACTTGTAAACCACAGTCATGTTGAACTCTTCTAGTCGGAGGCTCCATCGAGCGAGACGTCCGGACGGGTTTTTGAAGCTCGCAAGCCAGCAGAGCGAGTGGTGGTCCGTGACTACGCGGAACGGGCTCCCATACAGGTGCGGGCGGAACTTCGTGATTGGCCATACGACCGCAAGACATTCTTTTTCAGTCGTGGAGTAATTTCTCTCTGATTTGGACAGCGTCCGACTTGCGTGGGTGATGGCTCGCTCGGTGCCCTCTTGCACTTAAACTAGTACCGCTCCAAGTCCTGCATTACTAGCGTCCATGTGAATCTCGGTTTCAGCATCCTGATCAAAGTGTCCAAGGACAGGAGGAGTCTGGAGTCTTCGCTTCAGCTCGTCGAATGCCTGCCGCTGCTCCTCGGCCCATTCGAACTTCTCGGCGTCCTTCGTGAGTTTTGTGAGCGGTGCGGAAATCCTTGCGAAATCCCGAACGGAGCGTCGATAGTAGCCACAAAGTCCAAGGAATCTTCGCACGGCCTTCTTGTCTGTCAGCGCTAGAAATGCCGCGACGGCGTGAGTCTTCTCGGGGTCTGGGTGGACGCCTTCGTTACTAACCACGTGGCCTAGGAACTTCAGTTCGTCAAAGGCGAATTGACACTTTGACGGCTTCAGGGTGAGTCCGGCGGTTTAGATGGCTTGGAGAACAGCTCGGAGTCGTTGCAAGTGCTCGTCGAAGTCGGTGGAAAACACTACGACTTCGTCGAGGTAGGCGAGACAGCTCTGCCACTTCAGTCCTGCCAGTACTGTGTCCATGACACGCTGGAAAGTTGCTGGCGCCGTGCATAGTCCAAAGGGCATCACCTTGAACTCGTACAGTCCATCCGGCGTGACGACCCAGTCAACACACAACACCCTGAGGACATCCTCAAAAGGTCCTATCATCCTCGTCCGCTAAAAGTAGTCCATGGAATGTCCGCAGGATGAATCCTACGGGCCATCCGGAATTCGTCATCAACGTGGAGTCCTAAGGACATCCTCAGAGGGTCCTTGCATCCTGGTCCGCTAAATTCGAGCAATGGCTTGCAGGTTCTTCGAATACGCTTTATGGAAAAAAAGAAACCACTGCAAAGCCAAAATGGTGCTAAAAAGGTTAAAACAGTTGAAACCGCCGACCAGCGCGCGCCAAGTTCAGACAGCGATTGCGTGATGTTGTCGCAATGCGGCTTTTGCTTTAGAGCTTGACCCAAATGCCAAAACGTACAACGTCCAAAATAAAACCCCAAAAATGGAGTCGGACATAAAATCAACATAAAATCCTAAGTAGATTATAGTATTTAAAGATTTTGCTGTAAAATACACTGTGCCGCCGAAGCAACGGCCGAATCCGCTTTCTGCACGCCGCTGACGCCGCACGCCGCCGACGCCGCCACGAAAGGAAAGGGAGGCGGGAAGTTATTTGCGCGGGAAAGAAGCTGGGCACCTTTTCGACGAGATGTGCGAATTGGGTGAGTAACTTTTAATTACTATTCAATATTCATTTGCAGCGTAGAATGAGGAAGCTAGGTCTCCTAGTGAAGCGTCGGCACAGTTCTGAGGCTAGCCAGGAGTATCTGCTCAAGCTTAATTGTGTTTAGTGCAATGTCTTTGTTGCATAATGGCGGCTTCCGACAGTGCCGCAGGTCGCCTCTTTCGCCGAAAGCTTGCCCGATGTGTGAGTGACAGTGTTGCGCTACTTGAGACCTATTCAGACTCATCGGAACAAGCAAGCTCTAGCGATTCTAGTGAAAACCACTGTGATGCTGTCGCAGCTGTTGCATGTGCTGTCACTCGAGCGAGTGGAAACAACGCCGACGACTGGGCGGAAGGCTTGATCGCCGAAAGTGGACTCGGGCGGCTGATCGCTCGTGACCGCATTAGCGAAGAGAATCCAAGTTTACAAGACTTGATTGGTCATGAAGAAGTCGACGACCTCGAGTCGTTTAAACTCAAGCTACGAGAGTGCGCTGTTGAATGTCGTGTTCCGAATGAGTGGGTGACTCGCTTGCTAGCGGTTCTTCACAGTCACAAGTGCTTTGCTGACCTTCCCCTCTCTGCAAGAGCTCTCAAGGGAACACCGAGAAAATCCGGAGTGATAGAAGATCTCGGCAGTAAAAAATACGCCCACTTTGGTCTGGCAGCTGGTCTTGACCTTCACCTGAAGAAGGAGGTGGAACTGCCAGACTTTCTCGTGCTAAACTTCAATGTTGATGGCTTGCCATTAGCCAAGAGTTCCAAGAATCAGTTCTGGCTTATCCTTTGCCAAATTAGCAACTGTGAAAATAGTCATCCATTTCTTGTAGGAGTGTTTTTTGAGCAAAGTAAGCCCTCCTCAGCAAACGACTTCCTTGCTGCATTTGTTCGTGAACTTCAGCAGTTACTGATCTCAGGAATCTGCACTCTCGGTAAAGTAATTCCTGTCAGAGTAGGGGCTATCATTTGCGATGCTCCTGCTAAGGCATACATACTGAGCACTGTAGGTCACACTGGGTACTACAGCTGCTCTAAATGCACAGTAGAGGGGGTCTACCTTAATAACAGGGTGTGTTTTCTTGATTCTGCTGCTGAGCTAAGAACAGATTCTAGCTTTCGAGGCATGTTGCAGGAAGAACATCACTGTGGGAGTAGCATCCTCATGGAATTGCCGATTGACATGATTAACCAGGTACCCCTAGTTTACATGCATCTTGTTTGTCTGGGGGTTGTACATAAGCTCCTGATCTTGTGGGTTAAAGGGCCTAAGAAAGTTCGGCTGGGGCCCTTGGTACGGGAAATTTCTGCAGGAAACATCGAGCTTGTACCTTATGTTCCCTGTGAGTTCAATCGGAAACCGCGAAGTCTGAATGAACTTGACCGCTGGAAGGCGACCGAGTTTCGTTTCTTTTTGCTTTATGGTGGACCAGTTGTCTTGACAAAAATCCCTGAGAGGATGTTTCACAACTTTCTTGTTCTCCATGTAGCAATCACCATTCTGGCTACTCCCAGTTCAAGTTCAGATGATCTCGACTATGCCGATAGACTGTTGAGATATTTCATCAAAGTCTTTTCAAAGATCTATGGACAGGAGTATGTCTCGCACAATGTTCACGGGTTGTGCCACTTGACAAACGATGTACGATCGCACGGTCCTCTGGATTTGTGGAGCGCCTTTCCATTCGAGAACCGCATGGCTGCACTAAAAAGGATGCTTAGAAAACCTGGCCAGCCATTGGAGCAGCTCTGCAATAGAATTGCTGAAGAGAGAAATGTTGCACCAGGGAAAAAGGCAACCATCCAGGCAGAGCTTTCCTTCGCTGTTGAACATGAGGACGGCCCCTTGTTGCCACAATGTCAGGGCCCTCAATTCGGACGCGTGACTGTGCCGCACAAATTTGTTTTAAAGAGAGGCAAAAGGGACAGTGTATGCGTTCTTGACGATGGTACCATCGTTAAGATTGAGAACATCGCTTACTTCTCAGGATCAGGTGTTCCTTGCATCATTGGTCGCAAATATCTCAAAGTGAATGATTTGTACACTACTCCTTGCTGTTCTTCAATCCTCGGTATCCATGAAGTTTCTGGTTTGTCAAGCCTGCGTTGCTGGCCAGTTGACAGTGTAGCAAAGAAGTGCCTGAAATTCATTGTTAACAAGCGACACACCGTGTTTCCTCTTGTTCGCACAAAACTGTAATCTGGACTCTGTGTTCTGCAAGGCATGTGTGTACTGTGACACAATAAAGTGTAAGTGGTTAAGCTTCACATGTTCTCCTATTTCACTTATGTGCAGAGGGAAAGCCATATGTTGTGGTCAAGTTCCCGGATGAGGATGATGGTGACACTGTGGCGGTGGTGCATCAAAGATGGATAAACGGTGATTGGTGCTATTGGCCCAACGCAAAAAGTTCGAAGATGATAAACATGCTTACTGAAAGAGGCGCAAACCCTACAAAAGATTGGAAGCGTGTGCTGTGCATTCCAATAGAGTCATTTCGTAAGTATGATAGTTCTTCTTTATAGCACCAGTTTATTTCACCAATAGCCCAAAATGCGGGGAATTGAATACTTTCTGGGTGTTCCTATAAAGCTTTTTAATGTAGTGATGGTCAAAGGGCAATAAGAATTAACACAATGCTGCTTGTATATCTGGCATCATGAGGCATATACAATTTTTCTGTGACTTTCAGGCGACAAAACAATGTCACGAGTAGTTATTTTAAAAAAGTTGAGATTTCGCTCCTATAGGCCTTTTTTCTCTTTGCCCTAAATAATTACAGCAGCGTGCCACAGACAGCCTCAAACATCAAGCATTGTTTTCTCAAAACTGTTCTTTTAGCGTTCTGTTTGGCTTGAGTGGGGTTTTTGGGAACCACTGTCCATTTTTAGTTTGTTTGGCTTGTTGCAATCTGTGATCCAGAGTGCAGGGAATTGCATTATTATTTTTTGGTTTATATTTAATTAGTTACATAGCCATGCATTTGCATGTCAGACCTGTATTTTCCATCCTGGTGACAAAAAAAACTTGAAAATTCGGGGATATTGCGTTTGGTAGTTAAAGCAGCCTTTTAACAGTAAAGCTGTTTAGGCTCACCGTAATTTGTCTGATGTTAACAAAAACTCGGAGCGCAGTGACCTCCTCGCCCACACGTGCGCAGGGGTGCCGACAGTGGCATTGTGGAAGGCGTTCGTGCCTTCCACAGTGCTGGTTGCGTCTCTGTGATTGCCTAGGTGAACACCGCCACCTACGCTGCGTTTTATGTGTAGCGTGCAGCGCTGTCAAGGCTACTAGCGTGAGTGCGTCGCCTTGCACACCCTTCGCCTCATTCGAGCGTGCTCTCGTGCAGATGGGACGCTAAAGCCTGGTTCAGACAGTTGCGTTTGACTGCGTTTGACTGCGTTGCAGCAGCGAGAAACCAGGACATCCGTGCCGCTTGTATCGCGTGCCAAGACGATTCCTTGAATTGGATTCCACGCTTCATACGAAGCACAGATGTGCCGGTGACTCGCTTTCGGTTCTCGACGCAACGCAGTCCAACGCATTAAAACGCAAGTGTCTGAACCGGCCTTAAAAGAGCCATGCTCTCGTGCCTGTGGCTCTGACCGGCTAAGGCGAGCACAGCCAGTGAAGCGACTTCAGGCGGCGTGAAAGCAATCCCGGCAACCGAGTCATGCGAAAATTTCAGTGTCGATTCCGCCAGTGCATGGGTGGCGCGAACGGCCGTTTCCAGTGGGAATTTCTGGGCATTGAGTTTGGGCATGGCTCTCGCGTCTGTGACAGTCTTTGGTTCGACGTCAACCTGTCTACCCTGAGCTCGGTTCGAGACTATGAGAAGCGGAGTGCGGCCTTGCAAACCTTTGTAAAACTTAACTGAACTTAGGCAAAGCTAGGTCGACTCCCAGCTCCGCTGTTTCCCTAGCCTTGGACCGCTAGTGCAAGCTGCTCAAATTTTTTTATTTTACAAGCCCTGCATGCTTTCCACAAGGTTTAAAGAGAAGAGAAATATGGTAATAAGTTCTTGAGATTTCAAACTCATATTTTTATGGTGGATATGTTCTAAGAATGTAACATATTTGAGAGTTTTTATTGAAATCTGTGTAGAAATAAAACAAGATTTTGTTGAAGGCCATGTTCTGCGTTAAAAAAAAACTGTAGCTCGAGGCTCACGGAGCCAAAGCTCATGGTTCGGAGTGCTGATAGCCTGACTTCAATCCCGAACCAATCTTGTGGAGTTTCTGTTGACTTGCTTTTTGCGAGGAAAGCAGCTTATGGTGTACATCTCATGTTTACATATATCATTCAATCATATATACCATTTTTTTTTTGGTGGCAACTGTGTTCTAACTTAACTTCTAAATTTTGCAGAGTCTTTTGAAAAAGCTCGCAGAAAACTCAAAACAGCTGAAGATACCTCGGACCTGCAAAGCGAAACAGACCTCGGAAAAGGAAAGAGGAAACGAAAAGCAACACGCATCAGCGACTCCTCCGATTCGGATGTTCCACAAAGGAGAAGGCGACAGCCCATGCCTCTGGCAGGGTGCAATGCCATGGATGATGAGGGCTCCTCTGGTCCACCCACTCCACCTCCTGCAGCCACTCTAAGAGGTACCCTGGTTGTCTGATGTGCCACCTTTGCAGATCTATATGCCAACTGATCAATTGATTCTTGAATAGCTTGTTCTATTTTTACTTATGAAGTCTTATGAGAACAGAAAGGAGCATCATGCTGGAAAGAATGACCCGAGGTACAAAATTGTTACCCCAGGCTTTTAGTGCTTATGAAAGGCCGTGAAGCAGTTTTTATCTTGTATGCATGCTAATATTGCACCGTTACAGAAGATTCTGTTGTCATTAAGGATGATTTAAAGAATGGTCTATGAAAAACTAGTAGCATAAGAAAAGAAATAACACCTTTGTCCTTAGAAGTACCTTTATAAACCTCGGGAATAAAAAAAAATAGAAATACTGGGTAAATCACTTGCTATGTGCTTGTTCACATGAGTGCTCTTCCTGTGCAGTGTTAAAAGCACACAAAATAGTTCCTGACTGGAACAATAGCAAATAGAATAAGTGCTCACGACCTCTAACGGTTTTAAGACTGTTCGGTCCTGAAGTCACGTATTTGTCATTGATTTGTTTTCAGTGAAACTGTGTATTTTTGTGCAGCACTCAAGCAATCCAGTACAACCTTCAGCTCTACACCTGCTTGCCGTAATGTTGCCAGTAAAACTGTGTCAAAGGAACCTGAGCCTGAAGGTGTGAAACCTTTCTGATAGCCTTTGATAGTTGGTTTTAACAATTTTATACAATGCTCCTGTTGATGGTTCAGGTTTCAGGCGACACACCTTGGAAATTCTACACATGATCCGGCTGAGGCTTGATAACCTGACTGCCCTGATGGGCACTGTGTTAGAAGCTCTGAACAAGCACAAGGAGGAGGATGATGATGACAACTGCCCCGTTCAGGAGCCACACGCAAGCTACGACAGCTTCATGGAATTTGAGTGCCAGCTGCAGGCTAGCGAAGCTATGAGAAAAAAGCTGGTAAGTAAACTATGGAGCATTTGGCTAGATGCCATGGAAGTGCCTGTTATTTATATAAACCTGTTTTTCTGTGACACAGGTAAATTGGTTCGCGGGACTGGGAGGGAAGACTGTGGGAGCCACTACTCGTCGACTGCTGGAAGCTCTAATGACCCAAAACGTTGCGGTGAATTTCAGCTGGAAAGGGCAAAAGGGCAAGGCGAAATTCCAACAGCTGCAGTGTGTTGAGCTCATATACCGTAAGTACACAACACATTATGGCAATGCTTTTTTGAAAGGATGGTGTTTGGGAGTAGTGTTTTTTTCCCCTAAGTAATTGATAAATATCTAATATATGCTCTGAAACAGCACCACAGTTTCACAGTGTGATCAGTTGGCTGGCTATAATAATCAAAGTATTTCTGATGGTTATAATAATCAAAGTATTTCTGATAATTCCTCGATCACCTCAAGGAAGGAATGAGCATACTCATGCCATTGTTGCGATTTTGCCCTATAGCTAGCACTCTGGGTTTTGGGGGACTAGTAATAGCAAACCTTACAACTTTTCAGAAGCTGTAAAAAGAAACCCCCGTATCACAACGACACGTCACGACGTTGAAGAGGTAATCAAGACGTGGCTACGACACGCGGCGAAGAAGCTCAGGAAGCTTGAGGAATCTGGTCTCGGCAACATCCCCTAACTTTTTATGAGCATCTATATCCAAGTATAGTGTGCACCTTTTTTAATTCATTTTGTTTTTTCAAGCCCATCTTCAGGTAATACCTGTTTGACCTGCAGCCACAAGCACACTACTCACCAAGTTTTGTTAGTTTGTCATTATCATTTCCAATTATTTTAGTGTTCAAATTCTAGTATCTTTATCTAATTTTTTTTGCTCATTATTTCTAGTCATTTTACTCCTGTTTTCAAGTATTGCTCTTGCCTGACAAAGCTAGTCATTCTTAATCATTTTACAGGTGTTCATATTAAGGCATAATGAATGCCTCTTGTCTGCAGCTAAATGATTACTTGTTAGACCAGCAGCCACAACTGCACAACACGAGAAGTGATTATCATTTCCAGTTATTTTATTTTCCAATTTTAGTACCCTCGTCTTGTTCTTTGATTTTTATTGTTTCCAGCCATTTTGCTTAGGAGCCCTAAGAAGCCCAAATTCATACTTTCTTCGTCTAAATAAGAAAAAATAGAAAGAAAAAAATCGCTCCTCCTTTCGTTTATCTAGGGACATTGCAGGAAGCCTTGTCGCTGTCATTCCTCAAGACTTTCCCATGACGTCCCTCGATAACCGAAAGGAGGAGCCCAGATGGGAAACGCGGACCGGGATTTTTAAAGGGTGCGCTAGCGTGCTAGGAATTTTGTTTTGAAAAAAAATTATCTTTTTAGTTTTTTTTTTTATTTTTAGGACAAAAATTCGAAGTTTGGTCTTAAATTGATTAAGAGTACTGTTCTTCCTTGTTCTATTCAATAAATATTTTGGTTGGTACTTTCTGCCTACTCTTCTGTTAAAATAATTCAAATTTTTTGTGTGTGTTGGTTTCATGGTTTTCAAGGAGCCTGCGCAGCATCCGTCGCAAGTCAGTTCAGCATTTGCATGGGTGACCCCAAAAAGACCAGTCAGCTATCAAGCATCGCCTAATGGTTCTTTGGAGACATGGTGCCCTGATAACATGCAGCAAACATTAAAAAGAATAAGCACCCCAGGTGAATGAAATCAGCTGTATGTTCTTAGCAGCCGTGTCAAAATTTGTCACTATTTTTCATTGTGACTATTTCTGTAAAATTAATTAAGTCAGCTGTTTAAATATTGGTTTAAGAGCTGAACTGTGATTAGCAATGTTGCAGAACATCAGGAGAAAGCAATTATACTGTTTAAAACAAGGTGTGGTTTCTGTAGTCCTGTTTACAAAACAAAAAATGCCTTGCTATAGCGGTCTGTGTGCCTTGGTTCACGGGTGTTTTTTCTTGCCTTCCAAAGAGGACTAGTCAAAGCACACACTGTTGTAAATATCATAATCGGTCATTTCTCGTGACATTCCAAGACTTCAAATCTCACTTGAGCTCCTAACCAATAAAGAAAAAGTTGATTAATTAATTTTACCTAATTAGTAAACCGCAATGAAATAAATAGGGACATTTTCTGAAGATGACTGCATCATAATATAGTTGCTTTTATCCGTCTAGAGTGTCTCATTATTTCATGAAATTCGCTGCATGTTATCTGGGACACCCTGTATATATATACAGGGTGTTTCACGAAAGGTGGACAAATTCGATATTGTGAAAACTACGCATCACAACAAAAAATACTTGTGTTGTTTTCGTCCTGGGCCAGGGGCCTATTTAGGAAACTTATTAGAGTCCGGGATAATTAGATTAATTATTTTTGTGTCATTAACTTCTTTAGTATTGTGCATAAGGACATGGTTTCAATTAGAAAATTCCTCAGCATCATCGAAAAACACTAAATCAACAAATTGCAGAACGATAGAATGCACGCGCAACATTTTACGACTTTCTGAAAAACGGCACAAATTCAACGGGCTTTTAAGTTCGGGTTTGCTATCGGAGCGCATCTCGGCCCCGACGGCACCGCGCCCCGTGGAGAGATAGTGCAACCAGCCTGTGCTGCGTCGTGTGATGACAGCACAGCAGAGGTTGGTCGCGCTATTTCTACACGGGGTGCGGTGCCGTCAAGGCCAAGATGCGCTCCGATAGCAAACCGAAACCTAAAAACCCGTCGAATTTGTGCTGTTTTTCAGAAAGCCGTAAAATGTTGCGCGTGCATTCTATCGTTCTGCAATTTGTTGATTTAGTGTTTTTCGATGATGCTGAGGAATTCTTTAATTGAAACCATGCCCAATATTAAAATAATACACAATATTAAAAAAGTTAATTGCTCAGAAATAATTAGCAATCTAGTTGTCCCGGACTTTAATAATTTTCCTAAAAAGGCCCTGGCCCAGGACGAAAACGACATAAGTATTTTCTTGTTGCGACGCACAGTTTTTGCAATATCGAATTTGTCCACCTTTCGTGGAACACCCTGTATATTTCTAACCTTCATAAATGATCAAATGCTTCCTTGACGATATGCATTGACTGAACCAGTGGGGTGCCTTTATCCCAGAAAGGTCCCCATGCAGTCCTAAGGGCTGGCAACTCAGGATGTTCTCAGGACATAATGGGTCTGGACAAAAAGACCATTTGAGGATCATTCGAGACTCTTTCAGGATGTCCTCGGGACTACCCATCATCCTGGACTCGACATCCACAGCACATCCTCAGGATGCCATTGCGTTGACTGGGGAAGGCTGTCTTCTCTCGGTCCCGTTCGTCAACTTCGATCTACCAGTAGCCGACCTTCAGGTCCATCCGACGCGACGAAGGCTGTCTTCTCTCGGTCCCGTTTGTCAACTTTGATCTACCAGTTGCCGCTCTTCAGGTCCATCGATGAGAAATATCGAGAGTGGCGCAGCCGGTCTAGAGTGTCGTCGATGCGGGGGAGTGGGTTGACGTCTTTCTTCGTCACCGCGTTCAGCTGCCGGTAGTCCACGCAGAACCTTAGCCGTTCCGTCCTTCTTCTTAATCAGCACTACTGGAGACGCCCACGGACTGCTTGAAGATTGGATTATGTGGTCGTTCAGCATCTCTTGAACTTGCTCCAGGATCACCTCCCTTACTCTAGCGGAGACTCTGTACGGCGATCGATGCACAGACCGCGGGTGGAGCAGGTTTTCGGACCGCGGGTGACGTCGCTTTGGGTGCCTCCGCTGGTGGAGCAGGTTTTCGTAGCGTCAGCCGGTTTGTTCCGAGGTCGATGACGGCGCCATAATCGCAGAGAAAGTCCATTCCGAGAATAAGGTCCCTCGAAAAGTCTTGCAGAATGACGAACTTGACAGGGCACGTCTTACCATGGATCTCGACGGGAGCAGTGCATCTCCCGACTGGTGTAATGAGGTGTCGTCCGGCGGTTCTTATTTGTGGTCCCACGGCGTCAGTCATGACTTTTCGAAGACGGTGGGAGAGCCTCCGACTAAAGACTGTGTAGTCTACTCCGGTGTCCACGAGTGCCGATGCGTCGAGGCCGTCGATAACAACGTTCAGGTTGTTGGACAACGATGCAGGAGCGTCGTTGTGATGCGTAGCGTCGGGAGAGTGGGAGCGCTCCGTTGTTCTTGGAGGCTCTTTACGTCGGTCGTCTTCGGCAATGCCAACTCCAGGCGTTGCCGCACTTAGTTTTCCCGACGAGATAGGGGGGACAGGCTGTCACGGCGCGGCCGACGGAAAGGCGATGCGGAACGTCGGGGGGGGGGGGGGGGGGGGGGAAGTGGATAACGGGAACCTTCGTGGTGCTGTTGGCGTTGGTGACGGAGGGCGACGGAGGTATTCCTCGATGTCCCTTGGTCGTTCTCCAAAACGAGGTCCACGGTCATTTGGCGCGAATCCTCGCAGGCCGATCTGGCGATAGGGGCACCTTCGGTAAACGTGGTCAGCCTCCCCGCAGTGGAAGCACACCGGGCGTCCGTCATCCGTTCGCCATACGTCCGTCTTTCGAAGTCCACGCTGCTCTTGGCGATGCGCGTACTGCGGCGAAGAGACTTTTCGTCGGGGTGCAGCTGGGTACTGCCGGGCGACAGGAGGCTGCGGACGACGAACAACGGCGGCGTAGGTCACAGCTGGTGGTTCCGGTGCGGCGTCGGCGAGAACGTCTGGCTGGAGCGCTTGCTGGACCTCTTCTCGAAGAATCTCGGCGATCGAGAGTGAAGATGGACGTTCGGCGGCAGGTAGCAGCCTCTTCAGTTATTCACGCACGATGTCCCGGACAAGATCGCGGATCCCCGGAATATTGGGGCCGAGGGTGCAGCTGGGCGGCGTGGGTGCAGCGACGCCAGGAGCTCGATGGAAGTGAGCGGCTCGTGCTTGCAGGGCCCGTTCAATGTTGGTTGCCTCCGTTACAAACGTTTCGACGGTTGAGGGTGGACATCGCACCAGGCCTCCGAAGATGCTTTGTTTGACACCTCACATAAGGATTCTCAGCTTCTTGGCTTCGAAGGCTTGAGGATCGGCGCGGTTTCTGAGTCGAACATCTTCAACACAGCTTACGACGCCCTCGTTAGGGCCTTGGATCCTTACTCGAAGAAGCTCTTCGGCGCGTTCTCTCCGCTGTTGGTTGGTGAACGTACCTCGGAGTTCACCCTTCAGTTGCTCCCAGGAGGTGATTGACGCTTCGTGGTTTTCAAACCAATTTCGGGCGATGGTTTCCGAAACAAAGTAAACGTTTTGAAGGCACTGCTCCGGTGTCCATTCATTATGGCGGGCCACTCGTTCGTAATGTTGCAGCCAATCTTCAACGTCCTCGTGGACCTCCGCGTGGAAAGGCGTCGGAGTCCGGTGTGAGACGGGAACGTATATGACGGCGGCGGCGGCCGGTATCTGCGAAGGCTGGTTGTCCATCGTCGGCCTCGTCGGCTGCTTGGTCCTAGGTAGAGCCACTCGATATGGCAGCGTAGCTGCCAGAGTAGCGCCACGCTTTTCCCTGTGCCGCCTCTCACCGTGATTGGTCACAGCGGTACCATAGCAACGAGCTGAGCTGGCTCGGTTTCCTTAGCAACCAAGTGACTTCTCGTCACGTGACCTCGCATGCCTCGTAATAGCCGTGATGTCACCGGTAAGATGGCAGCGCCCAGAGCTGGTGGATACGAGTTTGTTCGGTGCGCGGTAGTCGTAATAAGCCGCTGCTTGCCGACGATTTCGGACTTCTTCATGCTCTCTGAAGCAGGTATAACGTGAAGATTTGAAAGAATGTGACTTTATACCTTTTCTG